ATACGTCAAAAGTAACACGCTCGCCTGAGAGGTCGGCACCCTTAATCCGTGATAGGTGAGCGAATGAGGATGCAAAGTGTGCCTAAAGGCACGCCTTGTGCTGTCTTGTGTCACTTTCTCAGCAAAATCACTTTTTTGTAGTCCTCATCTATTGTGACATTGCTGGAATGAAGTACCGACTAAACATGCATCATGTGGGCACTGGTCATGTACATGTACCTAAGGGGTTGACAACTGAGACACTTCCTTACTGACACAAAGTAGGTGCCTGGAATTAGAATGGTAAAAGAGTTTCCGGTCGTCACCTCACTTCTCGACACCCGTCATTCGACAGTTGACATCTGTCAGCCAGCGCCTGCAATTGGCACTGCTTCATGCTCACGGCACTACTCGCCGGAGCTACCCGAGGGCGATGCTTTGGCAACTCCACTAACTTAATCCAATAGTCTGCGGTCGCATGTGCAATGTGCGATGTGAGGTGTTGCCTTGAAGTGGAGAGTCGTGGAGTAGGAGAGAAATGGAATTTGCAATGCAGCCAGCTATCCACCTTCCTCCTCGTTTCCATATACACATTTTCCATGACTGTGAATCCATCCGTCTACACTGCCACTGCATGATAAATGTCATTAAAAATAGTCAGTTGGTGCATTGCTTGTCTCGTGAGCACCTTTGTACTTACCTAACATTGCATAAAGGAGCACAATTTCGTCGTTGTCATTTGTCTGTGTGTCGATGAGACAGAGAGGGGAGGGTGGTATACTTGACGGTGGAAGTGTTCCACCTGCAAAGACCTCAAGCACCAACGATGCAAGCTTGATGGGTGACGTTGGATTTCGTGCTGTTCATGAATGGGACAGTGATGTCGATGCAGAATTTTGAGGATGACAGACATGTGAGGTGTATAGAAATGACGAAGTTGTCTTCATATCTTTCACCAGTGACCACTGTCTTCCTCCGTGAGAGGTGCATGCATGTAAGTATAGACGTGTGCAAGTGTCCTACCCAAGTCAGCATCATCCCACCGACTTGTGAACATGTTCTCATCCACTCACTGTACTACAACGTGATGCTGAGTTGCGAGAATGCATGGTAGTGTTTGGCCTGTAATGTGAACTCAGTGCGAGTTACATGGCTGTCATTCTTAAGGCGGATGTGTTTGCTTTCACT